CTAACAATTATTTATCCAAGTGCACTTTAATTAATATATGTCGGACGTAAAATAAATGTTATACTGTTACACACCAGTAACGTGATGAAACATTCTTCTTTATTCACATGTCATCTAACCCCGAAATTGTTTTACTTCGAGAAGTCAGATGATATCATATTCAATTCTTTTAGAGACCACACGTCAAAAGAAGTTCACAACATTTATAGAAAAACACAAAACACGCTTTAAAAATTCTATTAGAACTTTATATACATTCTAGAACACTCGTCGATCATACTGTTTACTATAGAGTTCTCTAGGAAAGTACAAGCTCAATGGGACCCTTAGCTGAAACTGAATCCTATTATATTTGCTCTCTAATTCAAATATCATACATGTGAGAAACTCCTATTCAAAGCAGCGATAATAATAGAAAGATAATTTGAATGTATCCATATACATTCAGATACCTGAAGTAATACAAAGAAAAGTATATACCAGAAGAAATACTCTTGTTCTACGTTCATGTCCACTATTAATAAAGCACATATAAATTCTTCCAGTAATCAATTATTCAATTATTGAACAGATGAAGTTCAGATATTTCACTATTCAATTACTGAATTATTTCTTTTTCGCTTATTTGAACTTCGCACATTTAACTATTCAGTTATTTCGCTTTCCTTTTGGAAACTCACTTCGTTGTTTATTCCTCTAAAGGCGTGATCTCTATGCCTGTAAACGAATATGTCTCTCTCGGAGAAGGTACGTTTCCCGCATTCTCATCTTGTGTCATGATGTGCGAGTTTCAAAGCATGTATTTCATCTCTAGAAGAGTCCTTCTTTCTGAGAAAAATGATTAACTGAATAGTTGAGCTACGTTTTTAATAATTGAATTCACGTTTCAGGCTTGACACATTTCTACTCGCCATAAATTTGTCAGCTTTGTGCATCTGATATTCCATATTCAGACCCATTCGACCTCGACTATTGAGAATTTTTCAAAGAATTCCAAAACTTTGAAGCAGCGTTTCTGAAGATAATCCTGTGCAGCAGTTAGTCGCTCGTCGACGCCCCCTTCGGAGCGCCACTCGTGGCTAGCTGCTACCATCTCTAACCTTATTCTGCAATGAAATACTTCTTTCCAATTCAAATCTATCAAATACCAGGCTTTCTGACTTAACAAAACTGTTAGATTCATAACTCGATTGCTCTAAATGAGCTACTCTGAACTAACAGCTTCGGATCATTTATTTCTAGTTTCTCTAACATAATTGTTTAGCCAATACATTACAGTTTTATTATGGCTTCTAATTTGGAGTATCATAGTTGTCTATTCTTGATAAATGTAACTTTCACGGTAAAATGTTGTTAAACAATACTAGAATAGTTTGCAATATTAGAAAGTCTTTCGACAGTATTTTCCTCAGGTACTTCTCATAGTAACTTGGTTTTTTATTGGAAAACATAAAGACAATCCTGGATTATTCTACATTCACCTTGAGGATTGTAAGTTCACTTACAAGATTATTTTAACGCTAGTTTTGTCGACTAGAGCAGAGTGTATGGACAAAAAAGTCGTTTAACTCATAAACCAGTGTCAATAAACAGGAATCGCTAATGTTACACACTTCAGACCAACTGCCACTGGTGTTTAAATAGTATTTTGTTACGCTACGGCTTACTCAAATACTCGCAGCATTAGTTTACACTCCGATCCACGCGTACAACGATATGATGAAGACGGTAGCAAAACTAAACGACTACCGCAGACCCAGATTACGCAGAAGGATTTTCCATATATCGAGTTTCACTTTTCTTGAAATGCTTTCTCCGAAAAAAAGGTCACTTTACCCTCAGAAAATAATTCACAGACACAACTATAACTTTTTTAATACCAATGGCTATTTGGATTTTTGCAAATCTGACTTCAGATTCAGATTTCCTGACCTTGATTTACTTTCGTAAACCTTTATAAAGTATCGTTATTTTCTCAAAAACCCTTCCCTTAATCCTAAAAAAACTCACTTCAACATTTTCAAAATCTGACTTCAAATTCCGATTCTCCGACCCTGATTTACTTTAGTCAGCTTTGAAAAAAAATTTCTAAGGTGGATGCTTTTTTGACCCCGACACAGACACACAAACTATTTTTTTTCATATGACCCTCCCTACAGTCGAGGGAATGTAATTGCACAATGTCAGAAATATTCAACATAAAGTTAGTCTATACAGAATTTACTTTTGCAGTTTTTCTGCAAAAGTAAATTATGTCATTTTCGATAGTCTTTCTTTACACATTGTCAATTATTTATTTTCTCGCTGCTGTTAAAACATACAAATTTATAACAAATAATCTATTTTACTATTAATATTTTGTTTTTTTTCTTAGTCGATAATGGTTATATAATGACCGAAAATTCCTTTCCGCTCTCATTTTTCTTTTCGTATGATAACTTAAAATAAATATAATCCCTTCATTTACATTTTTTGTATTTGTTCAGAAATATATTTTACTAATAAAAAGTAAAAAATAACTTCCTGACTAAGATTATCATCTAAATACACAGAGAGACAAAAGAACGAAAGAAAATCGATAATAACAATCAACACCTGTTGGTTAGTAATATTTGATGTTATCGCACTGTGATACATAGATGGGCACTGCTAAATGGATATACGGCATCGGAGTTTTTTTGACCGGCAGGAGATACTCTACGTAACATCCAAAAAGATCTTTATCGAAACTTTCTACTATAATATTTCTACTTATTTAATCGCTAGACCCTTTTGACATCGTCTCACATGCTAACTCTTTGTATTTTACTCTTCATTAAAATAAACTGTTACTTGATTGCTCTATAATTTTTATGTATATAAAATTGATTCGAAATTTTTTCGATAGCTCCAGTAAGAATATTCATTTTGAATAATATCAATGGATTTTCCCTTAGATTCAGTTGCCAGTGGCCAAGAGATTTTCCTCAGAACTGTTATTTCTTTTCTCTGTGAAATTTACCTTTGTTGTGTTTTGACAGAAAAGAAAATCGACTACTCATTTATCATAGATAAGAAAATGTCTGAAAAACTCGAGAAATATAATGTTATTTTTTCATTCTGCGACGATCTGTTTCTTTTTCTTTCATTTAGATAACATTTATTTGTTCTGTCTCAGTAGATTGTTTTCTTCGATATTCGTTATTGAAGGAAGATTCAGCATAGAAACAGAGAACAGACAAGTCTAGTAGCAAATTTCTAACAGTGTTAAGCAACTCAAAATTGACTTTTTGGTCGAAGAAATCAGAGAAAATACCTTTGAAAAGATGTAAACACAACAGAGCGTGTCAACCAAAAGATTCATGAACATAAAGAATCGTCAAACTATTGACACTAGTGTCTAATTAGGGTTGAGTTTAAATAATATTATCAATGGTATTTTCATGGCTTCGACGCTCTTTCTTTTCCTTCAAGCATGTTAGGCATCTTGTGCGTTGTTTATTCCGCAAGACACGAAAAAAATTATATCATACGTTCCTCTACTATTTTCCTCTTCTACATTATAAGGCATCGTCTCATACAAGTTATATGCAATGTAGACATAGTTGACTCATTTGTCTCAGTAAAAATTTAGATCCATTGATATTCTATTACTATTTTATAGACAGTGGTTTTTCTATATTAAATGAGTGGAGAATTTGATTTTCGAGCATTGCTACTCAAAGTACAAGATCTTCTATCTGACAATGATCGACATCGTTTTCTATTTCTTATTGGTGAAGATGTTCCCAGATATTTGCGCGATGATCCTTCAATGAGTGGAACACTTCGTGTACTACAGTCTCTTTTCGAAAAGGCAATTATCAGCGATCAAGATTGTGGTTACCTGATTAAAGCATTTAAGAAAATACATTGTAACGATGCTGCAAAACGGCTTCAAGGTTAGCTTCTTCTGTCTCTTATAAAGATTCACATTTAACGAGCTTTTTATGTTATTGTTTTTCTAGAATATCAGTTAACGTTGGAACATTTTAGTCAACGAAGTTGCTCACTTCAAGATATTCTTTTATTCGACAACGATGATGAGAAACAGATGCCTTCGGACAGTTCGTACAAATAGAAGATTTTACTTTGTTTACAATTAAAAATTCTCTTCTAGGACTCATGCGTCTCCCATCTGACCCAAATTTGACTGTCGATCGTTCGACCTCGATTACAGATCTAAATCTCGAAAACAAACTGTCAAGTGCATCACTGCTTGTGTGTAGCGAAACGGAAGAACATATTCATGGATCTCGATCGATTCATCGGTTATTCAAACGACCATTGAGCACTCGTGAATGGATTCTACTTATTAGCAGTGTTCTGATTCTGTTGAGCCTTTCATTAGCGATTTATCTCTCGACCAGTAAGTAGTAGAAGAGGGAATCTGTTTCAGATGAATCTCTAGATTCATGCATTGAGATTGGATTGTGGTAAGCTGGGAAAATTTCCATTGTGATTATGATAAGAAACCATTCATGGTATTACAAAAAAAAATGATTATTTTTAAGTTATTTCCATGAATACTCATTTATTCCAGAAGAAAGCTTGTTAGCGCAGCCCCTTTGGAACTGAAATGTGGAACTCACATATCTTCTTTACTTTCACTGTAATGATGACAAAATAAATAATGTTTAAATCCTCTCAAAGACAATAATTCTTTTCTAATCATAATTGTTTATCAGCAAATTTTGTTTTTTTTATTTATATACTTCGAGTGAATTCTTTTTGTGAAGTTGCTATGGTCTGTAATGGGAGGTCATCTGTAATGAACGGTATGTCTGTAATGTTCTCTTTCTCCATCACTATGTGTCTGTAATGAGATTGTGAGGTGATAGGGAGGAACCCGCAAACCTCGAACTGAAAACTTACACTCACTATTTTCTTCGAAAACATACGTGAGTTCCACAAAATTTTCTTCATATTTGGTGTTGGTGTCGCATTAACATATAATAACATTCTCCATAATTGATCTGATCGAATTGTTTTTGTTTGTTCTTTGTCGACCTCAGTTTGTCACGTCGTCGTCGTTGATGAATTGTGAATTTCTTTTTCTGCGTCACTCGAAAGAAAAAATTGAATCTGATCAACTAACGGTACTTCTTTCTTTTTGATAGCTTCAGAAATTAATTTTAATTCAATAAACTCATTGAATAGATTATCTTCTTTCAAACCTAGCATTTTTGTAACTTTAATACATTTTTTGAATCTGATTCCAAGTAAGATCTTCAATACTATCGGGTGCCCCAGGAATAATGGGCCTCTCAGTATTTTACTGATATATTCACTAAATCTAATTAATTAACGCTTCTGTTTTTTTTAAAGATAGATCTTTCCAAGCTCTACAAGATGATCTATTTTTTATTTTTTTAAACAACGTCCATCATTTTCTAAAACACATCGTAAACGAACAGTCCAAGATGAACAACTTTGTAAGACAACATCCTGTCGAATTTTTTTGACTGCTCGTTTTAATTCATCAACTAGTGTAGGTTTCGATGTTACTTTCTCCCAGCTAACACATTGCGCAAATTCATCCCAGATGCAATAGTTCAGTGGATTTAAATCTGGACTGTTCGGTGGCCAATGATTTTTATCTATGAACGATGGAAAGTTATCCTGGCATCATTTTTGTGTTAGGTGGTGGATATGAGGCTTCGCACCGTCTTGTTGAAATGTCCAGTGATCCCCAAATGCCTTGTTTCCAATTCAAGTGCAATTGGAAGAACTTTCTGAATATATTCAGCATGATCTACTGTTCCTTGATCAAGAATGACTAATGGTGTGACTCCTTTGGAGGAAACACCTAGCCAGACCATGACCTTTTGAGGAAACTTCTGTTCCATTTTGATACCACCCTTTTCATCTGCTGCATCTCGATTGACGGCCCAAATACGTTCATTTTGGGAATTGTATATGCCATCGAAATCAAACACTTTTTCATCTGAAAATAAAATGCGCATGGTATCCTCTTTTCGAAAGTTTTTAACGACCCAATTGATGAATTTTTTTCTTTTTTGTTTATGTTCATGCGTAAGTCTTGGTTCGATTGTCACATTGTAGGTATGAAGTTTCAGGTCTTCTTTCAATATCCGATGGGCACTTGATTTGGATATGTTTTGTTCCTTAGCCAACCGTCGAACCGATACGGTCTTATTTTGATTGAGTTTGTCCTTGACTTTTTGAATCGTTCTACTGGTTCGAGCAAGACATGGACCACCTTGGGGTGTTGACAACTGGATAGAACCAGTGTCACGAATCATCTTACACCACCTTTTGATAGTATTTAATCCCAAACACCCATTTGAATCACGAAAGATCTTAGTAGGACCATCACCATCTTCGTATTTACAAAAAAACTACTTTTTGTATATCTTTACTTTTCATCTTATACTGAAGAAGAGATACGTTCAAGTAAAATTCGAAATATAGATTCCTATAGAGGACAAAAAGAAGAATATTTTTAAAAAAATTTAACCCCAAATGCATTGATTTTAACAAAGATGTCAGTAAAATACTGGGAGGCCCATTATTCCTGGGACACCCGATACTACCGAAGTGTTCAATTGTTCCTAAAATAACAGCATTCCGGGAGATATATTTGTCGACGTACTCTAAAAATTTCATGATGAATTGAATGAATGAATTTTGTAATTTAGTAGCAGTATCAGGTGGCATCCGATTTAACAATTGCCGATAGCGAGCTCCAAAAAATGATATGTTCATTCGCTGTTTTAGTTTGTATTCAAGTGCTGTTATAATTCGATATAAATCGATTGTTGTAATTGACTCTTTTTGTAACTCCAGGTTAGTCTCCTGAATTTCAAAGAGAATATGATGCAAAAATGTTAACACACATAATGTCTCTTCAGATTCGACATTTGTTTTTAATTTTTTTGGAATTTCTTCGTTTAATGGACCCGTGACATATTCCTTTCCTGGTTTGTAGACAAGTTACCAACGATCGATGGAGGAATAGAATGATAACTATAAGAGTCTGATGTGCTGAATCAAAACCTGGAATAAATTATAAAAGAGTATCCTTAATTATTTTTGCTTTACTTGTTAATCAAGCAAAACTTACATGAAAATAATGTTCGTAAAATTCATAATATCTGTTGAGCCCTTCAATTCTTTTTGTTCAACGAAAAAAATGAGCGTATGCCATCATAAAAAATGTCTCAACATCAACGGTTAATAGCTGAAGATCCCATTTCACACCATTATGTAGAACATGACAATAACAGTTTCCTTAATGATTCATCTATAAATGAAGAAACAATTACATTCATTCCTTCATTGAGCTTACCTTTTATGAGATTTTCAATATCATGAAGTAATGAGTAGACATTGTAATTATTACCCATGTTAACGTTGGTATTGTCTGCTCCAATGAACGTAAGACCTTCTAAATGTAAACCAGCTTTTTTAATCGTAGCCTTGAGAATTTCATAAATATTTGCTGCTGATTTATCAGCATCTTCAATGAAATCAATGACACCTATCCGAGCTCCGCGTAGAATGGGACAATTACATCCCATCCCACCCCACCGCTCCATGGGACGAAAAATCATCGTCCTATGGGACTAACAGTTTATATATAATATTGCTCCTTCTTTTTAGGAACAATAACATCGTTTGGATGCAAATTTCTCTATTTATTCATTAGATGAATTCATACAGAGACTTATTGGTTTCTCATGTGAAAACAAAGAAAAGAATTGTGAGCTTGATAATGATAAAGCTGTGAAAAATAAGATAAAATGCATTAGTTAGTCAAAAAGTTCTGTCGATATAAAATTTTTATCAACAGACAAAGTATTTTGTTGATTTGTTTAGAGTGAATGTTTGAAGCAGTCAATACAGATGGTCGATACGAAATTTCGTTCTATAAATCCATTTCTGAAAAGTGTTCTTAAACCCATGAATTGGATTCTGAATGAGCTCATCGGTTATTTTTTTACCTAAATTTGTAATATGTGGATAATTATCAATCGTATTCTTGACAAAGTTCATGCACCAAGAATCTGAAAGAGAGTAGTCAGCCGTCCATAGTGGATAAATCAGAACGAAGATCTTTTCTCCAAGATTTCTAAGATTAAGTGCAATATCTTGCATTTGGGAATTCTAACTTTTATAACTCATATGTCTGCTATCTTTTGATTATGTCTTTCATATGCATAATTTTGACTAACACTTTCAAGCGTTCATTGCGATAGTTTATTAACTGACTCATTCTAAAATATTAGTAACCTAATGAGTACTAATATGTAGATCAGCACACACTAAATCGTAAATAAAATGGACGTTTTATTGAGTAATGAGAGAGTTATTAATGGTCATTTAGAAAATCATATTCTAATGGCTGTTTCGTTTAAAACCAATGAAGCTAACGAAGATTTGTACTATAAGAAATAAAACTTCCTCCACGATTCGTATTTAATTCATCATGAAAATATATAGCAGCTAGACCCAACAATAATGGGCATTTTAAATGCAGATGTATGTACTCCAGTTTCGTCTGAAATAATAGGTAAATAAAAAGTCAATTAGAAATTTAACTTGATAGGGATTTATGAAATTTTCTCATAGTGGTTCAATGTATAAAAAGTATAAATATCAGAATAAGTCAGTGTTAGAAACTAAAATAGAGAGGATAAGATTTTTGACAGTTGTTGTGAGAAATTTTGGTTTGTCCTATGTAGTATCACTTATTGATGGTTTCAGTTGATCGTTAACTGTTTAACCCTTTCAGGATGGGATTATTTTTTTGAAAAAAAATACAAAAATAATATTTCAAGAATCAAATGATTCTAATTTTCATTCAAGTTTATTAATATGACTTTAGAGTATGATAGTCTCGAAAACAACTATGAATGCATCAGCCTACATGGCAATCTGAACATTTGTATCTGATATGAGATTTTTTTTGAACGTTTGACAGTTGTACTACAGAATAAATTAGGATGATGCCGCATGATAAGTTAATGCAGAGTAGAAAACAAATAAAACTGTGGTTGATTAAGGAAGTCATTTTAGATATATATCACTATTATAAACATATTCTAACCCATACTCAACTATTTCGGAGTCGCAATACATAATAGGTTTCGCTCTTTAAAAAAGGCTGTGGTATATAAGGTATACCGCCCGTCCTAAAAGGGTTAATAAGGTCGAATATCGAACGAAGACATTTGCTTTCAACTTCAGGTATTGCAATGATTTAAAATGTGACAAAGCATCCTTATGTTTAATTGAATAGAAACGGAAAATACCTATACATTTCTAAGAGAAGATTACTTTGTATTCTATAAATAATTACAATGAAAAATATCGTACTCAGTATAATAGAAGAAGTTTTCCAATAGTCATACACTCATTGATCTTTTACAGTCGTAGATAGAATCCATGGAAAGTAAAAAATTGACCAATTAACTCTGATAAATCTAAAATAATCTTTGACAAAAAGCAACCTCGATAATTAAACTAGCGATTCTGTGAAAAGTATATTTTTTTTAATAGTGGTTGGCTCGTGAGACCTGTCAAAAGTCAGCAGTACAATATTTTTCAAAATAAAAGAGAGCAGGCATGTGAAAGTGTCTTAAATATTTGTAGAATAAGTGTCAGCCTGATTGAATGTACTCTACTTGAGAAACTGGTGTGATTCTGAACATTTTGTTGAAGAGGTTGATTTGTAGAAAATCGCGAAAAAAAGAAAAACTCGCGCTATAGCCATGAGATAAGCAGTTTATCTTTGCGATCCTATTGTTGCTTTAGAGCTAGATTTGAGTTCTCACAATGTTACCAGTAGATACAGGGCACTTGCAAGCACATATAGCGCAGATAAAACAAAAACAGAAACATTTGGCTAATCTGGGTCCAAAAATGGGATCTTTTTAAGCCTCTGTTATTTGGAAAATCATTTTCACACTGTAAAAACCTGCAATCATTTCTAGTCATCTCTCATACAACTATCGTGAACATTTCTAACATACATCTAATCACAAATGGGATTAGTCTATTGTCACGCAAATTGGCTTTACAAATGAGGCATGTCAGTTTTAGAGTCAGTTGATTGTCTGAAGATAGACTGATAGAATAGTCCATGACTAAATTAAAATATCCAGCTTATATAACATAAAAATGTAATGTTAACAGTGAAGAACAAGAATAGTAGTAATAGAAATGAATTGTAGCTATGAATATCAAAATATTTTATTCCTCAGACTATAAATAGTACATTCTTTGGGATAAATGAATATAGAGAACCTGTACTCAGGAAGTATTATTTTTTTAGTGAGTACTAACTGAAAGTAAAAGCTCTAGTTGTCTATACAAGTTTATAGTCACTCATTTGAAATAAGTTTCACAAAACAGAATACTTAGTGAATATTTATTTACTTCTGATGAAAAAAACTCTACACAAGTTTTGAGTAATACTGAATTCCTTATACCATTGTTCATTTTTCTGATGGAACAGCTAAAAGACGAAGTCATATTACATATTTATAGCTATGATCTTACTGTAGCCAAGATTAGTTTACACTACAATAAAGTTTAATTGATAATCTAATGCACATGAAGAGCTTCCAGCAACAGCTATGGAGCCTGTTCAAATTCAACGGAGTTTATCTCGGAACAAGTCCTATATAAGGTGTATAGATTGTATAAAGCGTCATACATGTCAAACTTGAAACATTAATCCAACTCAAGTTTCAAGTTTCAGTTCAATTTTCAATTACATCTGCAGACATAGGTGTGTTCGGAATACAGAAACAATTAACACAACAATGAGAACATATTCATCAGGAATTTAATATTGACTTTGACTTCTATACCGATTCGGATACATGATATTTCATAAGTTTTGGGCATATTTAGATTTTTTTAATTTTTCAAGTATACCAAGTAGAACAGACATAGGAGATATGTTTAAATTTAACATCTAAGTTATGATTTGAGATTTATTCTACTCAACTGATAACATTATTAAGAAGATACTTGATTAGTATAGTTACTGCGACAATTCTATCGATGTTGTTTTTCACTTCTTTCCTTTTATTGTTTATCTTAACCATGTAAAATAGCCCCGTCTAAACTTCTTTTTAGGTTTACACTCCATAAAAAAAACATAAGAATAAAAATGACTCAAAGTGACTGTACGACTTTATTTTTTGTTATTCAAACACAAAAAATTTCATAAATTTAATTGTTTTCTAATAACGCATATTCTTAATAAGGAATTTGGTTGAATACAAACAATTTTGGATGATCGTTTAGACGTTCCCAATATACATGATCTATAAGTATTCAACTTTATATAATGGAAAAATACAAAAACAACATAAAATGATTCAAAACCAATGAAAAAATTTTTATATATACGCGGTGGCCTAAAAGTCATCGGGCAGTCTTTGATTGCAAATAACTTTTGACAGGAGTAAGACAGGCACGTGCGGCTTTCGCCATTGGATTGACCAATCTCTGAGGCGTCTACCAATACAAGATTCATTAGGCTTGAAGAAGATTTCAATAGTTATTTCCAAACTGAAATCATTTTCGTTGGCCATTTTCATATATTGTTATTTTAATTTTATCTCAACTTACACCAAAACAAAGGCTGAAGAACACTGTGTGAGCACTTAAAGTCCTTAAATTTCAAAGCACGATTCTCAAGATATGAATTTGGGAGAATGTTAGAGATGTGTGAAGATTTTATCGCTAAGACTACAATCTTCGGCCTGCATTTTAGTGTAAGTTGAACTAAGGTGAATATGAAAATCTGTGAAAATGAACAACGAAAACGATATCAGTTTGGAAATAACTATTGAAATCTTCAAACCTAATCGATTTCATACTGGTAGACGCTTCGGAGATTGCTGTATCTGATGGCAAAAGCTGCACATGTCTATCTTGCTCTTATCAAAAGTTACTCTTAATCAAAGACTACCTCGGTGGCTATTGGCCCATCCTATCCATATATCAGCAAACATACAAGCATAGCCGCAAACTCATTTTATTTCCTACAACCTTCCATGCAGTCAATTCAGGGTTATCCCCAGTAGACAGTGCCATTTTCAAAAGAGCCATGTGAATTTCTGTAAATTTTAGTCAATCTCACATGCACGCAAGTCTTGTAGTGATCTTTCTTGCATTCTATCAGGGTCTTTTCTGGAAAGGCTTGATCTAACTTCCTCTGAACCTAACATAGGCGGCGAAACATGGAGTTTGAGTTAGGCACGAGCCTTACCCAATTTATTCTTTCAGGTTTTTTTGCACTAAGTTTCCTTTTTTCTTGACTAGATAAATATTAGTTTATTGAAAAGATCAGAAATTTTCATGTGTTTTTGTTTATGTACTCTGATGAAGAAAATGGAAAAGCGAGACGAGAATAAAGCTCACTATCAACAGTGATCTGATTTTCAGTGAAATCTTTTATTTGATTCCCATAGGGCGACATATGAACTAAATCAATCGTAGAATTATGTGTTCAAAGGAAGTAAACCAGCTACGTACGATCTGAGTGTTCATCTGTCCATTTATGATATTATAGTTCAAAATGGTTTACTACTTG